CAACAGGCAACACGCATAAGGCGATAGCATGAATGAAAATGCGGCAGAAAAAATCAGCAAAAGCCTTTAATGTTTCAAACGCTTCGGATGGATGGCGCTGTCCGAAGCTCTCTGAAGCACATTAGAAGTGGTGAATGTGATTATGACAGATAATATTTGTGTTTACGTTTAGATACGTTGACTGTCAAAGTAGAGAATGTTCTGTCAATATAAACCAAAATACCAACATGGCGGGCTAAAATGCTGTCATGGCGGATGTCTTTCTCATTGAACTACACATGAAAAAACATGAAAATATCTCAAAAACGGGAAAATCGGCAAAATGGACCGTGCTGTCACTCCCTGTAGGGAGTGTAGACACCCGGCTGGTTTGATGGCCCAAAGTTCAAATCCGGTGGATTTGAGCTCATCCATGGGTTCTCGGGATTTGGCCTATTCCCAGCACTTGCCCTTTGGTGAAATTCCATACAAAACATGAGTGTGACTTGTAAAGATGCTCACAGGAAAGGAAAAGCTGGGAATCAGACCAAATCCTGAGAACCCATGGATCAGCCCGAATCCACTGGATTTGAACTTTGGGCCATCAAACCAGCCGGGTGTCTACACTCCCTACAGGGAGTGACACCACGGTCCATTTTGCCGATTTTCCCGTTTTTGAGATATTTTCATGTTTCCTCGAAATATTCCATCATTCTAAGATATTTTCACTAGAGGCGCTCTTACAAAAATCCATCCATTTAGCCTCCATAAGAAGCAATGTATTCATATCAAGCTATCGAATTACGACAACACGTACCCAATATAGAATGTGATTCATTCGCAGGTAAAAACAAGATGCCTTACATTCATAAGGTTAACTTTTCTACACTCCCAAACATATAATTTCCAATTAAATCCAATTCTCCAAGCATTGAAATTAGGAAAGCATCATATTTTAATCAGACCTTAATATCAGAGCGATTTCAATACTCTGTTTTTCATACATTGTGACATTGCAGAATTCTTACCGTGTTTTTGCGTACAGCGTACAGCGTATAGTGTGCCACGCGCCTACCCTACATACCCACAATTTGCGATTCTTGGCGTTTAAAAATCGAAAAAAACTGTTTTTTAATAGATCAAAAAATCTGGGGCGATCCCAATACTTTTCTTACACGACATGGTCGTGTGAAAAAGAAAAAAAGAGAAAAGAGAAAGCGTAGCTTCGACCCTTCCCAGAGTTTCTAGTTGATATTTACTTTCTTGATATTTATAGAGTGAGAGCCGAGAATGTCTGAGAAAAAGTGTCGGATTTCAATCCAAGACCGCATAACTCATGCCGATTTTGTGCGCTGAGGATTGATGGTTTGTTGTTTACTGTGTTCTTTCTATCCTACTGGCGTGTTTTTCTCTGTACATTCTGTTCGGTTTTTTCTTACATATTCATACGATGATGAAGAAGGAGACGAAAAAAATTAGGATTGTTTCATTGTTGCCAATGGATTTCAACGCGAATTTTTCGAACATTTTTCATACTTTTTTTCTCCTCATTGTATCCATCCATTTGGTTGTATTAAATCATCTCAAGTGCACAGAGCATATTTCAATGTGGAAAAATGGCGTCAATTTCTGAAATGGAACGACAATGACATTGCCGTTACGGCAAAACGAAGACATAACATTTACTGTGCTCGCCGTCTTTTTTCTTCTCATTTTTCCATGCCGTCATGTTCTTGTTTTTTTATTCATTCAACTAAAGAAGATTGAACTTGATTTTTTTTTCTCATTTCATCGGTCTTTGTTTCCATTTGCTTGCCAAACGCACAAAAAGCAAAGTTATTTTGGTCGCACATTGCGATAGCACACGTGTTCATGAACAACGGTATACACTTGTTGTTGGCTCGATTACTGACTGGCTGGTTGGTTGAAGCCAGCCAGGGAGTATGCAACGTTTCGTTTTTATTGTGCGTGTCATCGAGCGTTGTTCGTTATTTGAGCCAACGAAGACAAAAGCCAGAACCAATTCATGAATTTTGCTCAAAGGACACCACAAAAAGCACAGTCTTTCTCCCAACATTTTTCACTTGAAACATATGATGTCTTGCTTACAGTTGTTTTCTTTTCTTCGCTTTTGATTCGTCTTGTAAATTCACATTCTTAAAATGATGAAATGGTAATAAATAGCCAAGCACCGTTCAGTTGTCGCTTGAAACAATTTTCACATCCACGAATACTTAGGGCGAATTTGTTACGCTCCACGAATATTTACGTTACATTTTTCACACCATCCACAAAGGGACGACGACCGAAAAAAAACAACCAGAATTCAATGCGCTCATTATTTATGTCGCGAATAATATAATCTACGTGGATTTGTTTCATTTTTCACCAATTCGACCATACGGTTATGTGCAAAACAGATTAAAATATGGCTATGCAATGTTGTGACCCAGGCAGATCACCTTTGCTTAGCCAAACTTATCGTCCATTCATACAGAAAAAAAAGAAAAAATCTTTTTATTATTGCTGCAATTTACACAGAAGATAAGTAAAAGCGACCGAACCACAAAGTAAAATAAATAAGAAAATTATGGGACAAATGACCAAACACACGAAAATGTTCTTTCGTCCGAACACGCGAGCTCACATTTGTTCCGGTGTAACATTGTAATTTTTGTCGACAACATAATGGCCAAGGTATTTCTGTTTTACATTTCGAATATCGTGCCGCCGTTCGGAATGACAACGAAAAAAAGCGGGGCAAAAAGAAAAAAACGATGGCGTTTTTTTTAGCACCGGAAACAATAATCCATTGCAAATTTCCACACACACAAAATCACAAACATACATTTACATACATATATACCAATCAGTAGCAATGGCATTAGCACTACACCAATACACGAACCGACTAAAGCATTAATTTATGGCGGTAAATACTTCGTGGTGCACGAAATGGCATGCGAACGCAAATTTTGACGCTTGCCGTGCGAAACAAAACAACAACGTTGGACATTTATGTGATTAGTGGGCAGTTGTTTGCAACGGCCATATCCATCAAAATGCCCAACATTTGGATAGCCCAGGTGAAATGCACAGACACAAATTGACAAATAAACTGTTAGCATGTGTGTTAAATCGACGTGCAAAACATATTCTCAAACAAATTCACTGTGTTTCGATTCATGTGTTTATTTTTAACCGATTGTGTTCGTATTTTGGGTGACCAATGAACGTCTGTCACTGATTGCAAACGAGCGAATATTTGTTGCATGTTTATTGCCTCATCACATGAGTAATAAGTGTCGACCGACCCAACGTCCAACTCAATACATTCATAAACTTCGCCCGTGCGCCTGCATTGCACACATGCGGTGTATGTGTTTGAAAGGCATTTGGAGCATGGTGCCGCCTGAATAATCGGCTTGGCTTGATTTGGATGCGCTTTGCTTCTATATTCGCCTTGAAAATTGTACTTGTTATTTATTTGCTGCTTAGCGCTTCGCATTTTGTCCGGTTTATGCGTTGTACAACAACGATGACAAACAAAATGCTGCACATAATTTCTTTTTCTGCGCTCATTGTGTACGGTCGGATTTATGGATTTATGATGTGCATTATCATCGGAAAGACGGTTTTAGCTTTCATGAAAAATGCACTGCAACGATTATTACTCTTCTGGATGTGGCCGAATGATTTTACGAAAATGTTCTACTGGATTATTATGGATGAATACGGGCATTATTCTCAATCTATTCAACCAGCAGCAGCAGCCGCTTGTCGACCGAGACTAATTATTGTCCTTTGTAATATTCGCATTTTTCATGTCATGTATTATCATGACCACAAATTTGGTTTTAATTAACTGTTTTCCTCTATAAGTATGAATTTCAATGAAGAAGTGAACCACCAATTTTTTTTTCATTGTATTTTCAGTCGTTGCGCTGGTGACGCATTTTTCAACATTGAATGAGCTCTTTATCCATTTTTCATATGGTTTGTGGTGCAGCGAAATGTAATATTATATATTTCAATAAAAAAAAATCGTAGGAATCCCTTTTCAACTGCACTTTTTTCATGGTCGATCACATTTTTATATACGACTTTGTATTAATTTTACAGGAGTCTCATTCCAGTGTTTTTCTATGTTATATCTAAGGGCAGACGACAATTCCTTTTCATCGCTTTTTACGAGTATCAACAATAAAATTTATGTATTTTTCTGAAAGCATTCCAAAGCACCGGAGAAAACTGAATGAACCACTCAGTATTCGGTCCCTTAGTTCTTTCCATCACTATGGCAAATATTTCAATTTTTTTTTTCGTTCCTGTGCTAATAAAAATCCGCGATATTATTTCAGCGTCCGTAATAAACGTAGCTTGATGAGATTTTTGCTGGGTTCGTTCGTAGTTCGTGTCATTTCCTCCATAAAATGAAGGTCGTCGAACATTTTTTTTTTTGAATAATGATTCGCTTTGCTAGAAAGCTCGTAAACTAGGCTATATTGTCATTTCATGTTTTTTTCTTTTCGTTTTGGGTACAGGGTACACTGCATCAGCACATATTTCACTTGGAAATTCAAATAATAATTTAAAATTAATATGGCTATTTTGAATTGCGAATGACGCGCTTCGCTTCAGAACTTCATAGACTATTAGAGAGGGAAAAAAACGGACGCAATAAAAGAAATGGTAAATATTTTACGAAGCATCTTTTAAATTGAATGAATCACGTGTATAGCATGAATTTTGCTTGTTACATAATTAAATGTGTTCGTCGTTGGGAGAGAAAAACTGGCGATCCAAAATGGTTCATTTGCTTATAAAGATAAATGAATTGAACATTGCAATGCGTAAAATATTCAGCAGTTATTAGCTGATTTATTTGTGCATAATTTCGCATTAAACATAAAAAGTCTGGGTTTTGTTTTCTGTCTTGGACTCCACGTTAAACTCCGACCGTCTCCCATGAAAAAAAGTTTTTCGAAGACGAAAAAAAAAGCATATGACTTTGTACTCACCTTTCACTAAACTTAGAATCCCCAGCGGCATGACTAAAATGGCCACCATTAGATCGGTAATGGCCAACGACATGAGGAAATAATTTGTGACATTTTGCAGACGACGCTCCCATGTAATGGCCAAACATACGAGAATATTACCCGCAGCTGTACCAAGTACCAAAATCAACGCTGACAACGCCCAGTAATTATTTTGATCGTCGATCATGGGCGATGGCGTTGATTCAACATCGATTTCAGTTATCGATGACATATTACCCGATGCCACGAAGCCGGTATCATTCCATTTAATTGTATTGAATGTACTTGTTACGGCAGCAACTAATAGATTGTTTCCTAAACTAGCCATTGTCACGTTTTCATTTACACTATCACTATCACTGTTGTTAACTGTCACTGGTTTCACGATCACTGGCGTATTTATGCTGAGATTACGATAAATTCGTTTTTCAACCGAATCGAGCAAGTAGTCGACATCCGTATTATCAGATCCAACGATTGCATCCAAATCCGTACCACTAAATTGGCTCGCAGCAATTGCTGCAGTTATTGTATTCGATGCGATTGCCATAAAAGCTATGGTTTTATTTGCTACTCCCTGTAAAATAGCGCCGATGTTAAGCGCTTTCGTTGTAATTGCTTGCAACGACGACGACGACGACAACCCAATACGATTTGACACACCTGACACACTTCCACCTCTACTTACTACACTCACATTTTCGTCTTCTTCCATTTTATGTTTAAATATGTATGATTATTTTATTTTTTTTTTTTCTTTCAGTGGAGGATTTTATTTAAATAATTTCGACAAAATCTGAATTTAAATTACACACTCAATTTATAAGCATTTTCGCTCAAATCCACTTGACTATTATTATATTTTTGCACACGGAATCGTATAATAACGTTTGCCCGTACGGAAAATGTTGAATCGCCGTTGCATTTCACTCGTACACACTCATCATTTTTAATGACAGGGCAAATAATTCATTGTTAAAATCCAATAGAAAATGTTATCCAGCCAGCGTATCGTTGCAGTTCCGTTTGGCTGGCTATTTGGCACTCACCCTCTATCACTCTCTCTCCTTCTCCCTTCCGTGTAACCTGTAAAATTTATTCGATTTTCATTTAAATGGATTTTCACCATTTGAAATGGGAAACGCTTTATTTTATAAGTGAATAATAGAATATAATAAATGTGTTCGAGTTGGCAAAATGTGACTGTGTTTGATTTTACCTATTGTTAGAAAATTTCGTTTCATTTCCACGAAAAATTTGTTGTTGGAACTGGCTGTTGGAAAACCTAACATGCAACCAACACACATATATACTCAATCAAGAAAGAAGAACTTAGTGGCAAAAAAATGAGAGAAAATTGCAAGCTGTTGCTATACTTTAATTAGTATTACATGTTTGCTTTTTGCGTTGTCCTTATTTTCTTTTACTCTCAAGCTCCATTTTATCCCCATAAATGAATACAACGATATGATTACTGGCAACAATTTACTACAACTATTTGCCTTTCGCTGCCATTTCATTCGCAGTGCATACAAAACCGTGGGAACTTCTTGGAATTACGAACTGAATAATCATCAATCTCATTTATCAAATCTCGCAATAATTGAAATGGGCCTGCGTTTTTTTTTCGCTTTCTTTGTGAGCGAAACCGAGAAAGAATAGTGTTGAATGCTTGAGATTTGTAGGCATTTTTAATTAACGTGATGAATTCCAAGACTTAATGTGATTAAAGAGCGAGGTCCACTTTTTGCTGAAGTAGCAAAGAGCAAAAAGGAGTTCAGCTCGTTTTCATAATTACGTTGTCCATTTATTGTTGGTCCGAAGATGAAAAAAAAAAATTGGATTCTTGAAATGTTATTAGCATTAATTATTCAACGATGTTGTGATAAAAAATAGTTGGAAAATGTATAGTTCATGCTGAAATCCAAAGATTCGAAAATCCACTGGAAACGTTTGCCGACTTAACACACCTGTTCGTGCCTGCTGCAACGAGCTTTTACATGTTTGCCCCAAATCGAAACGACCAAACCACCGTAACATACATTGGATGGTGATAGGAGAGAAAAATCGCTGTGCGACTTAGATTGAGTGACGCAAGATAGAAACAGCATTGGCATTTTGATGTTTTTTCTTTGATCAACATAAAATCTGATAAATCCAGACACACGTCACATATAATGTATGTTTGAGATTAGATTGGACAGTATAAGTATATCAACAATATGAGGTTGTCTTGCGTCACCGACTTTTCCAGTTCGTAAAAAGGTTTTTTTTATTTGATAATAATTTATGGCTTTGCTCCTACGACGAGAAAAATGCGACGGCAATGATTTTTCTACATGCACATAGTACTTGTGCTTCCATTTACTACAATTTTTGCTCGGCAATTTTTCTCTTCAATAATAATCTATTTGCACCATTTGTGACAACATTTTCATTTTCAATTACAGCAACGAATCTTCGAATTTGGAGCTCAGGAATATCGTTGCGTGTTCATCTTCTCCGCATATTTATTCTTCTTTTATTTTCCATTTTTAAAAGCTTTTTATATATATAAGAGCATGATATCGACGTGCATATTGGAAAAAAAGTGTACCACATATGTGGTGGCTGTGTGCGGCTGCTGACATTCGATTATGTTTGCCCTCCGTGTTGTGAGTTTTAATTTATGTTCTCCGCTTGGGCACTTTGCATTGTTGGCAGCATTTTAAATTATTATTCGTTACGATGATGGTTGGAGGGCGATGATTTTTTTTTCAATTCGCTTGTTCGTTCGTTCGTTAATTTACTTTTTATTTCTTTTGCCCCAATGACCCTCATTTATGTGAAAATTTCGTTGCGCATTTGCATTCACATATATTCCGAAATGATTATTGCTTATCGCGGAAATCTTGAGAAAAGAAAGAAAGAAATTTGCCTTGAGTGTTTTCTCACTTGTTGTTTCGTTGTATGTCAATCGGCCGCTTTCTTGTCGCCCTGCTTCTGACACTCGACATCCAAATGGTGCACTCCATTTGGGAGTTTTTTTTTTCTCTTCAAACGCAAAATTATAGAAAATGAACGTAGGACACAAGTGTGTTGGAATCCAATTCTCACAATTATAGAATTTACAGTCATAATGAAGATTATAATTTCGTATGATTTAGGTCTTAAATGGGGACATTTTTTTCCAGTTTTAATGAATCTGTCGTAATTTGAGGAGGTGGTCTTCATTCGTATTACACAACTACAAAATTGCGATGCGCAAAAACGGCAATTTATATCAAGATCTTGATTTATATGGTGCAAAACTCCACAGAAACATCGAGTTTTGAAAAGTAACCACCATATTTTGTTCACTGACGAAAACGGATAGTATAACACATAATTGCATACTAATTATATTTCCATTCGGGAGACACGTCAAATAGACTATATGATACGGTCTATTTTGATTTCAAGAAAATCGCCGCATATTTTCCAACAATTTCTTTGTTAAAAAAATGCTTTTGTCACATTTCACGCATTTATTTGTATCGTTATGTGTAATTTTGTGTAGCATAAGCTGTGTTGCATCTCATCGATGGCATTTCATGTAATCGATTCATGATAAATAATTATTTCTTTGAACTTACTAGCTGTTGTGGTGAATTCGAAGAAAGTTGTCCATTTGAAATCGATGTGTGTTTGCATAGGTCAAATTGGTTAAAAGTGCATTTTGTATGCTATTTACATTACACACACCTGCTGGCAAATAGATGGGCCTGGGATAATCAAGTGTACCGTGTGTTTGTGTGCGCGGGCACGTTGTTGCATGAGCCTTTCGCTAAGGTAAATGACGCTTGTTGACACCAAACAACGTACATGCATAATTACACAAAACTAATTGCCATGCTCTTTTCTCGGATTTACAAAAGCCGCAATCAAAATCTCACGCGAAATATTACACAAAAGCGTATAACATTGGACTTATCGTACCATCGCATAATTATGACCTGTGGACGAAAAAAAGAGCTGACATTAAATTCACATTATTATGAGGGAAAGAAATCTAATTGGTGGTAGAAGTAGAAGCAATTGTCATTTCTATTTTTCGTTCCTATCTATCTATCTATCTCTCTCCACCTCTCTTGACAATTCGGCAAAAGTAGAATGTCATGTCCATTATTGAAATATATCGATAATCAAATATTTGGATGTGCGAACGAGGGATGGTTGAGAATGGAAAGTCCTTTGCACATTTGTTGTGTAAAATACTGTTGAATGGAAACGAATACGCTTGACTTTGTACGAGGTGGAAAGTTTTTCGTGTGCGTCGCTCTTTTTTTATTTTTGTTTTTACGCAATGTCGCGCACGATTTTCAACACTCGTTCCATGTTTGAATGCAGTTAAGACACTTGGGAAAACAGCCAAAACTGAGGAATACGAAAAAAAGCAAAGAGCATGGCAAAATGGCGTGATTTTCGCCTAGGGAAGAAAAATAATCTGCACCAAAAATATATCATTATCATTTGGATGTGGGTCTAGGGGAATTTATTATTCAAAAATTCATAAATTCCGGTGTGTTTTGAGCTATATTCAGAATATCCACTCATATTCACAGATAGTCAGTCTTTCTTATTTAACAGTTCAGGCGTTCTCATCAGCCGCCATCTTGAATTCGTCGCCACCTTGAAAATTTTATTCAATATATTCATAAAATTCACAACATTCACATATAATCGAAATTTTGACGATGATTCAATGAGAAAAATATCCACAATATTCACAAATATTTTCTCAAGCCTTGAATGAAACCCCTAGATGTGGGTAAGACTTGCTATTTTATGATGATTTGTCACGAAGTCAACATATTTCTATCTATCAACATATTGACGCAGATACATTTATTTATATTTTTCGGCTGCTAACGGAACGTTATTGCCCTTCAGTTTCTTTTTTTATCAATGATTTCATCGATATAATTCCATTTGACGTCATGTGTTGTCGGGGTTAGTTTCTTCTTCGTGAGTAAAAAAAAACAATCAATGGCGGAGGTGTTACAGACCTCTGACATTTGTTGTCATCCATACACGACACCAACACTCGAGAATGAAATAAAAATTAATTCCATAAATCCAATTTTCAAAAAATAATTATTATTCAAAGGAGTGCATGAGTTCGTGCGTTTAAAGTAAATTTATAAAGTTCGACACATAATTACGTTTAATTTCAAACTTCAAAGAATAAACAACAAACTTTCAAGTGCATGAATGGATATCATCATTGTGTGCACACTCTCGCAAACACATTGAGTGAAGTGTCATCAATAGACAACACAACTGACGGCCTGAGAAGAAGAACCTTTCCTACAAAACCTGTGCGCAGAACAAAAACACAGAAATTTTTTAGTCAAAAGGCGAACAGCAAATTTGCGAGCGCAAAAACCTAATATATTTACAGCGAGCGCAAAAGTTTAACAAGCTTACTAGCATGCAAACTCCGTATAAGTAGGCCTGTTATGCTTTTGCGCTCGCTGTAAATATATTAGGTTTTTGCGCTCGTAAATTTGCTGTTCGCCTTTTGACTAAAAAAATGTCTGTGTTTGTGTTCTGCGCACAGGTTTTGTAGGAAAGGTTTTTCTTCTCAAGCCGTCAACTCATATTATTTTTCCCTCATGCCAGTGTGTGTTAATGTTGCGTGTGTTAAATACACAAAAATTGTATTTTCTGAGCTCAAGTTCTGCTTCTTATCTTCCATTTAACGTGTGAAAGAATTTCTGGGTCGGTTGCTTTCTATTTTTATTTGTTCTTCTTCGTACACGTTGTTTTCGATGTCTTTCTCTTTTCTCCATGCGGTTTTTCATTAAGAAACTTTTGTTTCTTCTGATTCCATTACGAGGAGGAGTTCATTTTTCGAAATTTTAATCAACGGCAACAATTTTTTTGTCGTTGATTTCAAGTCGTCAGGGTTTTCCAATGAAACCGAAGCCATGAACCGTCTTGAGGATAAGTATTAGCCCAAGTGCACACACACACACCAAATGAAAACTTGGGCACAAATGCAAATAACTCATACGTTCACCGTGCAAATAATAAGCAATGCCGCTTTGAGTACAGCACATATCCATGTGCATACAGCTCCTAAATTATTATTTACTCGAATATTGTGTTTGGTTTACATCTTTTTTGACAGCAGCCTGTTTCGAGCGAAGTAGACGACGACGAAGACAGCGGCGGTTTTTGTGGCAGTGATGCCAACGTCGTTTGAGCTACTCAATACATATCACACGATGTGCTCTTTCCTCATTTGCTTATCAAATCAATTCGTCGAGATAAAAAAAATCAATATTCCTCATGTAGACGCTTGTTCAAAAGTAAATTCAGTGAATTTTTCGTTGATTCGTCTTCTTGTTGATCTCGGACTGAAGGCGGCTCGCGAGTAGGATGTTTTCGATATGTTGTTGCGGGCGGATTGGAATGAAAACAAAATAAAAGTTTGCCGCAAGCCCACCGATATGAGTTACCACACTTTGACTGTTTCTCTTTGTGCAAATGAGAATTTTCTTATGAGATCGGCAAAAACAAATCTGTTGAATCGTTTACTTTCTCTGTAATACAAAGTCTGTCAGAAGCGTGGTTTTTGTTTTCCAAAGAATGTGAGCCATGGACGCAAGTTGATGCGAAGTGAAATGCACACAAGACTCAAGTCGAATATTCGGTATGATGAGATTTATTTTTTATGCTCAACACGAACTTTACTTTGGATAACTAGATGGACCATGCATCTTACTGATTATTAATTTTGGTTGTTTCAAATGCGCAAAAGCAAATATTTTTAATTAAAATTATTCTCGCCATCACCGCCGCATACAAATATTAGGGAAAAAGCATGGAGAAAGCAAAATTACAACCCAAAGCGTCCTTCCTTGATTTATTTTTTAATATATGTATATTTTTTTATTGCGCTGAATTCATTAGAATTTCGTTAGAAAAATTACTCATTCATCAGAATTTGAAGCTTGGGGTGTTTCAGTATCAGTCTCATACGAACATCCACGACATCTTGAGAATATTGTCAATTGTTCACGGTTTGGAGGAATGCTTGGTAAAAATGAATCTGAGAATCAGTGGTGCTCAGGTGACATATGTTGTTTTGATATGAAATTGAAATGAAAATGAACCGTGTTCGTATGAATTCGGTGAATTGTTGCTTCAAATTGAAAATATATGTTCGACAAACAAGGAACATGTAAAATTCGTCACGATTGTTCCTTTTTTTGATTTCAATTCCAGTTTAAAAAAAATAATTCATTCCACCAGCCTCTGTCGTTCTAATCAATGTTTCGACATTCTCCCGTTGAAGCCGAACGATTTTACCTCGGAAACACAATTTTTGACATGCAAAGACAAAACTTTACTCATAAATCATAATTGCCGAACAATTAAGATGTGAGCGTATGTTTTGAGTGTGTAATTGTCTTTTGGGCGTAGATAAATTGACGTGTAACATATGAGAGCACCCAGTCACATGTAGTACATACTTTTTGAAATGGTACGATGTTTAATTGGATGGATCTTAGAGAGCAAAAACGCGACAGAGAGAGTTTAAAATGGCAAAGCATTTTATTTGTTTCGTTAACATGCTGGTGTACATTCGGTGGTGAACAGCGTCATTACCATAAAAACAATTTATTTTGCTTTTGCTCGCACATCAAAACGGCTTGAAGATGCTTATTTGAATGGGATTATTCATAGTCGGTTTGTCTATATTGGAAAAGCGTTGCTTGTTGCCAACGTCATTTTAACGAGTGGTAATGGGAATATTATCAGACTGAGCAATAAAAATGTATGTATGTGTGTGTGTGTATTTGCATGATGCACAGATAAAACGAGCGTCAACGAAACATGTTGAAATGTTTAGCATTCGAAATGGAAAGCAGATGGTCGAATTGTGATGATATTTTATGATTGTTTCTTTCCCGTGTCTCTCTTTGTTCTTCTCATCCAGAAATGATTGTCGTTTGTAGGACATCCGTATACGAATATATTAATTGCATACACATTGAATGCTTGAAAAATTGAAACGCACATTATTTGACATTCGACAGAAGCATTAAAGCCGAAAAATCCCTATTATTGACGGAATGAAAATGTGACGCGAATAATTCATCCCCAGTGACATGTAACGCATGTGAAACAGAAGTTGCCTCGTATTTTATTTGGCATAGCTGGGAGTTTTTTTTGTCTCCATTTTACATTAAATCATGATCAACATGTTTTGGATCGGTTTTTTTTATCCACCCAACTCTCGCTCACTCCAAATTCATAACAACGTGAAAATCGTAATGCAACACTTAGCAATAAATATATTTAACGTTCGCACTTCACTTCGCAAAGGCAATAAATTTTCGTCGAAAATATTTTAAAGGTTGAATTGAAACAAATGGCCAAAATGGCAACGTTCCTTTGGGATGGCATCAACACTTTGGCCAAACATTTTGAAAACATGAAATTAAATCAACGCATTTAAAAGCGCACGTATTGGCTTTTGTCAAGGGAGTTTGCAGCATGCCTGAAGTATGCGGTCACGATTCATCGTATATCTTGGAGCAACCGTTGTTTGAACCATGTTTTTCCTTGCGCAGCACCAATTGGCACATTATCAAGATTTGAAAAAGGATTTTGGGGTGCAAGGAAAGAAAGAACAAACTTTCGGTTCCCATAAATTCCAGAAAAAAGGGGAAAATGTCATACTTTCTTATTTATGAGATCTAGCGATGAACCAAAAAAGTGGCGAGGGCGTGATAACTTTATTTTAATTATGGCCTTAGACTTGCATACAAATTAATAGAGGATATGATCATAACGATAGCAACTGTGGCTGTCATAGCCAAAAATATGATGAAATACTGGATTTTTGCTTGTCATTTGCTCAATGCAATGCCATTCGATTTGATTTAATGTAACATTTCACGCATTTCAATTTGATTCAGTAGTGTGTGTGTGTGTGTAC